GTATAACCTGAATTGAAATTACAAATATAGTATAACCTTGGAATTTGAAATTACAAATATAGCATAACCTGGAATTTCAAATTACGAATATAGTATAATCTGGAATTTCAAATTACGAATATAGTATAACCTGGAATTTCAAATTACAAGTATAGTATAACCTGGAATGTCAAATTACGAATATAGTATAACCTGGAATTTCAAATTACAAATATAGTATAACCTGGAATTTCAAATTACAAGTATAGTATAACCTGGAATTTCAAATTACAAATATAGTATATACAGATGATGCCAACAGTTGATGAAATAAAATTGATATACCAACTGTATTGGAGTTTGATTCTATAACAGGTTTCATGTGGGAATACCCTCAAGAATATCTCTTAAGATGCCGATATACTACTAAAAGTAAAAAAAAAAAACAGCTGTCTGACTTCATTTCTCTGATGTTTCATTGATTTCTATTTTTACTCAGAGGCTGAAAGATTTTTGAGAGCTAATGACACAAGCCACAGTATACATGCTGGATATGCTGTAAGTACAGTACATTTGTCATGTCTCTTATGAAATGAATACCCTTTTATTTGTTGAATTTAATGTTGGACTATTTCTGTTGGTTATTTTAAAAGTGTTGTTTTGCAGGACATGTTCATCAGCTGTAACCTTTGACTCAAACACAGAAAGCTTAATTCATTACATCATCTATAAAATCTGTCATTGTGTGTGTGTGGCCGGGGGGGGGGGGGGGGGTAACTTTACAAAAACATTAGAGCAATCAGTTTAACAATTTTATTTTGGATCTCAGCTGGATGACACCATTGATTGGTATTAGGTGAATTGGGCAGTTTTGCCAGGATGATAAAAATATTTTTATTTTAAACCAGACAACCACATTCTTTACTTTTTACTAAGAATGAAATATTTATATACGGTAAATTACTTTACTTGCACTTGGAGTTTATTTTCACTGGAATAATAATCTTCAAACAAAACTGCCAAAATGTCTTTTTCAGCAAAAATAAATTCCAGCTTATTTTACAGTACCTTCAAAGATTTCAGTCATTAGCCAAATTATGTCGAAATACGAAAGAGAATAAGACCCAAAAATTATGTGAAGATAGAGTCTGCAAGAAATGTACATCTAATAAAAAGCTGTGTAATAAAGTTATATATAAATGTTTAAATTTTGACTCCAAATAACTTGAGATTTTCTATTGTGAAATTAAAGCTGTGTTTTGTATTCTCATCACTAATGATTCTATTAAGTTCTATAAATTTGTTAGATGTGCACTACCCTTAAAGGTTTATAAGTGTCGTTATTATTTTTGTGGGAAATATAACACATGACATCTTGTTTGTCTAATTTGTATTCAAGTCTTGTAATGTTTACATCTGTTTATTAGGGGTTGTTATGTAAATTGATCCTGTAAGCCTTCTCACTCTTTCCTCAATACAAATCAATACACAAATTAGATCCGGGTTATGATGTCATGAATGCCTGCTGACATCTATTGGTACTACTTAGAGAAAGCTTCAGTTTCTTAAAAGCATACATCTAATTGGATTAAGCATTCAAAGATGGCAAATATTTGTAGTTGCTAAGATAGATATCCATGTCTCACTAATGGTTGACGATAATGAGTCTATCAGTATTTGTCTGTATTGTGTTTACATTTCATAAATTCCATTGGTATTATTTTAGGTAGAATAGAATAGAATAGAATAGAATAGAATAGAATAGAATAGAATAGAATAGAATAGAATTCTGAAGAATGAATGGAATCGAATAAATGAAATAGAATAGATACATGCAGAATAGAATATATATTAAGAATAGAATAGATAAATTGAGAATAGATTAAACTGGAATAGACTAAATACATGGAGAGTAGAATAAAATAGAATTGAACAGAACATAATAGAAAATAATCAAGTGTAAATAACTGCGTTAGGCAAACATTTTTTTTTTGTCATCTTCTGAAAATGTCAAGACTATAGTGAAGGAATTTAATTGGTAAGATAGTAATGAGCTTGTCAATGTTACTAGTCAAAACATTTTTCAAAAAGACATTTAATTTGTAAGATAGTTAGTAATGAACTTGTTATTATGAGTCATAACTTTTTTCAAAAAAAATCATTTTTGTCTTCATATTCTGAAAATCTAGCCAAATTAAAAAAAATTATCCCAGAACTGAATAATTATATTGTAATCTTTTTCACAATTAAATAATAGTAAAGCTCATTCCATCTTTTCTATTGTTATATGCCACTTTTGTAAACACTCTCATTATCATTTACTTGTTTTAACTCATTAATTAAAAGAAAAAATATAAGAGACACCAATTTCTCACTTTGTCATAAAATATATTTTAGTAATCAGAATAAAATCTTGACAAATTTCTGGAAAGTCTCACTTGATTTTTCTAGATTAAATATAAGTAAAATTATTACTTTACATGGAATATTACTTTTTGGTTCTCAGAGATGACTCAGATGATCTCAATCAAACTTTGCAAGATGCATATTTGGTTAGATGTTCAAAACTTGATTCAAGATGACAGATCTTTTTTTACTCATTATAAATGTCTGTTAGCTTATGTACATAAAATGTATAGGAACCAAAACTTCCTCCTTCCACCTAAAAAATTTTCTTTTAGACAACTTTTAATAATAAGTGTGTGTATAGAATTGATCACTTGATTCACTTGGATACATATGTATGCGGAGTAGTAAATTCATTTCCCAAGTTAGTCAGCTGTGAATCCATGCATGCAAGGTCACTGTGACCTGTATTACAAGACAGCCATTATCTATCACATCTCTATCCATTCTTGGACTTTATTTCAAGCATTCAAAATTTTCTATTTTGCAAACATCAATCATTCAGTGCTCTCATTTGTATTTTATTAATGTTTTCTTCCTGACTGACCGACCGTTTAAATGTGTCACATAATATAATTTTATTGGCATCACTCAGATTTCCAATCAGTATGTCTACACTAAATGAGTTGAATACAAATTGATCATAACTATAATTTATGCAAATTGCAATTTATTGCAGGCCATTATATCTCCAGAAATTTTCTAGATTTACTAATTTTAGGTTATTTGTAAAGAACAAAATATTTCAAAAATGGTTTCAATGAAATTGTCAATGATACAAAATATTTCAAAAATGGTTTCAATGAAATGGTCAATGATACAAAATATTTCAAAAATGGTTTCAATGAAATGGTCAATGATACAAAATGTTTCAAAAATGGTTTCAATGAAATGGTCAATGACACAAAATGTTTCAAAAATGGTTTCAATGAAATGGTCAATGATACAAAATGTTTCAAAATGTTTGTGTGATAATCAAAATAATTGTTTGTGTATTAATATGGTAAACTAATAAATAGCAGTAATTTATATAATACATAATTTCACTACTTTTCGCATTATTATTAAAATGCATATTTATTTTCATCTCTTAATTTGTAAATTTTCTCAGTAATTAAGATTTTACAAAATGGAAAAGCCTTACATTTGTACATAAATGTATATAATGAAATAAAATTGAACCATTTGATAAGCTATGTGTGTATTTTACAAAGTATATACCGGTAATAAAGAGCAATGCTGATGGATGACCTGTGATACTCTAAAATCAATTAATAAATCAACCACATTATCTGATGTTGTTCTGAGAATACTGATTTAAACACAGTGATGTTTGAGTTGATACTCATACTATCGTATATATTCATTGATTCATTATCAACAGGGAACACATATTTGGATTTGACATGTACACGTATTTGTTATGTTATATTCATCGTAAATGCATTTACATAGTCATTGACTGGAAATACATTTGTCTTTGATGCATTTGCATTTACTTATTCACATATCCATCACTGATTCATTTACATGCTCATTGACGTACACACATATTTGTTGTTGATGCATACTCATCATTGACATGAAAACATAGCCATGGATGGGTAACACATTCACCACTCACATTTTTACACATTCATCATTGACAGGGATCACATACTGACAGAGAACACTTCTCATTGACACTTTTACAAACTCATTGATGAGGTACGCATACTTGTCATATTGACACATGTACATTGTTGAAATGTAACACATTCGTTGACTTGATCAAACACTTTCCATTGACACATTAGCGTATTTGTCATTGACACATCAGCGTATTTGTCATTGACACATTAGCGTATTTGTCATTGACACATTAGCGTATTTGTCATTGACACATTAGCGTATTTGTCATTGACACATTAGCGTATTTGTCATTGACACATTAGCACATTTATACAAATGGCTTGAACATAAATACCAAAAGTTGATAATTCCAATATTTAATTTGTTTATTTTATTTCAATAGGACAATTACATCAAGACTGCCAAGTATAATATCATTACATTCCTGCCAATCAATTTATTTGAACAGTTTCAAAGAGTTGCTAATGCCTATTTTCTTTTTCTACTTGTGCTCCAGGTAAGTGATTGGCAAAACAATTCACTCCTTGAATGTCACAATTGTGCACATTTCTTTTTTTCATAATTTGTCAATGAGTTTGGTTTTGAAGTCAAATAAAATAATAGTGTTATAGTATCAGTGAAAACAAAAGGTAGGTAGACAGGTAGGAAGAAGTTTTTAATTTGTCATATATTTTTTATTTTAATTAATTTTGCAATTGATGTCAACATGATGTTCATGTTGGTTCATGTTGTTATACAGAAGCATAAATACAAATAACATGACAATGACATTTTCTTGGAAGGAATTTTGTCTAGTATGCAGCTTGAAACAGGAAGTGAGTGTCCTCCTGTAGTCACTTTCTCATTTTATCTTAAATTAAAAAGCTACAAGGGTGAGCATGCAAAATTGAGGAAAGAAAACATGCCTGATTTTAATAGGTGGGTTTATTTTGTGAAAGGTGACACAAATTGACTTGTTCTTCTCTGAACCGACTGGACCTATAGTCTTTGATTTATTAGCATATTCTGACACTCGCTACATTGTATTTTTGTCTTGTTTTATTTCTAGTTATTGCCATGGGTTTCATCATTGAACCCCATAACTACCCTTCTACCTCTTGTGTTTGTATTGACTGTTACAGCCGTCAAAGATGGTTATGATGATGTCGTAAGTATCATGTTACATGTACTTATTCAGATTTATAAATATCATTAATTTGAATTGCGTCATTTTCACATCATGATTATTCATAAAGTTGTTTGATTCAAACAAACAAACAAACCTAGAATAACGAAAGGCATATTTATAACTGATGTAATTTTGCAGCAATATTTTGTTCTGTGGAATTCAGGTCAAACTGCTAAAATACTGCAAGAATGTAACAAAAAAATAACATATATATGGTTAGAAAGATCATTTACACAAGTCTACATTTGTTTCACATGCTGGTTATGTCAAATCTTGAATTTGTGACTAACGCTATTATAAAGGTTTCCAGCAAAATAGTCAATTATTAAAATTTAATTTTTAGTATTACCAGTATAGAAGTACCTCATAAAATGTTCAATCATGTCTGTAATCCTCGCCAATATAGAACAGATAAGTTTACAAATTCACATTTTGATAAATCCATTCCATCTGTCATATTTCTTCACAGACTAGCATACGAACCAATACTTTCAGTGTCATCACCATCAATTTCATTCTTTATATTGTTTGATAACAAAAAAAACCTGCCTGATTATAGCTTGTTGCCATTGTTACGAGTAGACGACAGATGTCAGCTGATTGTCTGAGTAAAATATCAAACTGTGAATCAATAGCTGTACATGTCTCCATCTGACTGTTTTTTTTATTTTTTTTCTCAATCAAATATTAATGCAACATTTTGCTAAATTGAATGTATTTTTCCATAATTGCTTCGTTAATTTGGACTAAATTTCGGGTCTGGATTAAAAGTTTTGAAAAAATACAGAATTAATTTAATTTTGTGAAAGGCAATCATAATTGACTCAATATAGAATAAATAAATTGAGATGAACAAACTGAGCATTCTGAACTTAATATTGTACTAAATTTGTTACAGAAAAGACACAAAAATGATAATCTTGTCAACAATAGAGAAGCTGAAATCTTGAAGGAGGACAGGTAAGTTCATAAATTTCTTTTCTTGTAAACAGGACCATAATGTTTTTTCAGATTGGATTCAACATAGCTGAATACAAATGCTGTTCTAGAGCCATGTCTCTGACATACATTGAGTGATTGCAAACAAACTTTACAACTACATTATACATGGTGTCATTTGATTCATGTTTTGATTCAAAATGGCTGACTCATGTCATTTTGTTTGCTATTGAACTAACATTATATAATAATAATAATAATCTTTATTGAAACCGTATCCCGGAGTGGGATCTTAGTTGAAAAAATACAATAGAGTAATACAAAAAGATAGCAAACAAAAAAACACAAGACATTCACAGACATTTGAATAAAGAAAAAAGAAAAAAGAGAAAAAAAAAATTAAATTATTTGGTGGTTGGTTGAGGCATCTGGCATTTTAAGATTTTTTCTTGTCGTAATTTGAAACAAGTGTGGATGAATTTTCCTAGTTCAATGATTGTTTTGTCATTTTTACCTTTTAGTATATCTGTAAGTTGTTCGTCATCCGTCCCCATGTTGCTTTTATTGTATTTAATATTGTTGATCATGATTTCTCGTTCCTTCTTGTATAAATTACAATTGAGAAGAAAATGTTTTTCGTTTTCAATTTCCTGTTTGTCATATATATATGTTTAAATGACCAGCAGCAATAGAGGCTGTGAAAATAAAAATAAAATTGTGTTAAAGTTTAGCTATGCTTATCTGATACTACATGTAACATTACTACATTGTACAACTGCCCACAGGGCAAGTAAATATTATGTGCATCACCCCCCCCCCCATATATATATTGTACAACAAAAAATATCACAGAATAATAGGTCACCCTAAATAGCTTTTTTTACCTCTTAAGGTAAGTTTTTCACTATAAATTGCTCTGATGTGTTCATTTGTTACAGAATTATGTTATTTTCCTTGTAAGAATATTAGCCATACATATTACATGTACATGTATATACAAAATATCAAATTGATCGGTTGAAGCAGTCATGAGAAAAATTGTGGTAATTTTGCCAGAAATCCAAACCATGTGACTAATCGAAAGAATTTTATTTTTTCTTGAAGCTGTGTAATACATGTTATATACAAAACATCAAATTGATTTAATTCGTGATTAACAAACTTTTGGTAATTTTTGCCAAAAATCGAAGATGGCAATGAAATCACATTAACTAACTTTGACTAATAATTTTTTTAGGTTCAATTGAGAGATATTTTGAAGAAATAGAATAACTGAGGCATCGGTAAAAAAAATACTTTCTGTTGAAAGACAATTCAATATGACCATAAAACCATGTGACCAATCCTGACAAAATTATCACACTTTAATGTGCTTTCAGTGCAAATATCCCAACAAAGCTACAACAATAAAATCAGAATGTCTAGACCTTTAGAATAGGTTTATAAATTAAACATGACTCAAGTTTAAACTTCACGGATACATCATATCAGACAAACATACATTCATTTTGTCGCAATCAAATCCAAAATGACTGTTTGGCGGTCATCTTGTTTTAAGAAATGTAGTTCCATGGTGCTATATCTCGTACATGTCTGGACCAATCAAGTTTAAACTTCACACATACATCACACATCAGGTCATATATTCTGGAAATGAATTTCAATTACTCATTAACTGATTGAATTCAAAACATGAAAATCGTGGACCCTGAGGCATGTAATTTTGTTTCTTGATTGGATTCATAATTCCTTGACTGGCTGCCATATTGTTTTATAGAATTATGTACAATATCAGTAGTTCCAACATGTCTTTCCTGTCATATATCAATTCACACTAAATGTTATATAGCACCAATGAAGTGGGTGTACTAATTAATAGTTTAAGAGTTTCATGCTAGGTGTTGTACAGAACCACATATTCACATAAATAAACACATGACATAACAGATGTTGCACAGAACACCAATTGTTTGATGTTTGCTGTATGTCAGTGTTCAAATCCAATTTCACATTCTACTGTACATTGCAGATTGAGCAGATGTAAATGGCAGAAGATACAGGTTGGAAATATTTTGAAACTAGAGAATAACCAACCCGTACCTGCTGATGTCTTAGTTCTTAGTAGCAGTGAACCACACTGTTTAACTTACATAGAAACAGCTGATCTTGATGGGTAGGTCAAAGGTCAACTTTATAGTATGATATTATTTTAAATATAATGATAGCTATGAGGGCAATAACATAGCATATTGTCTAACTAATGATAGTATGAGGGCAATAACATAGCATATTGTCTAACTAATGATAGGAATGAAAGCAATAACATAGCATATTGTCTAACTAATGATAGGAATGAAGGCAATAACATAGCATATTGCATAACTAATGATAGTATGAGGGCAATAACATAGCATATTGTCTAACTAATGATAGGAATGAAGGCAATAACATAGCATATTGTCTAACTAATGATAGAAATGAAGGCAATAACATAGCATATTGCATAACTAATGATAGTATGAGGGCAATAGCATAGCATATTGTCTAACTAATGATAGAAATGAAGGCAATAACATAGCATATTGCATAACTAATGATAGTATGAGGGCAATAACATAGCATATTGTCTAACTAATGATAGGAATGAAGGCAATAACATAGCATATTGTCTAACTAATGATAGTATGAGGGCAATAACATAGCATATTGTCTAACTAATGATAGGAATGAGGGCAATAACATAGCATATTGCATAACTAATGATAGTATGAGGGCAATAACATAGCATATTGTCTAACTAATGATAGTATGAGGGCAATAACATAGCATATTGTCTAACTAATGATAGGAATGAAGGCAATAACATAGCATATTGCATAACTAATGATAGGAATGAGGGCAATAACATAGCATATTGTCTAACTAATGATAGTATGAGGGCAATAACATCGCATATTGTCTAACTAATGATAGGAATGAAGGCAATAACATAGCATATTGTCTAACTAATGATAGTATGAGGGCAATAACATAGCATATTGCATAACTAATGATAGTATGAGGGCAATAACATAGCATATTGTCTAACTAATGATAGGAATGAAGGCAATAACATAGCATATTGCATAACTAATGATAGTATGAGGGCAATAACATAGCATATTGCATAACTAATGATAGGAATGAAGGCAATAACATAGCATATTGTCTAACTAATGATAGGAATGAAGGCAATAACATAGCATATTGCATAACTAATGATAGTATGAGGGCAATAACATAGCATATTGCATAACTAATGATAGGAATGAAGGCAATAACATAGCATATTGTCTAACTAATGATAGGAATGAAGGCAATAACATAGCATATTGCATAACTAATGATAGTATGAGGGCAATAACATAGCATATTGCATAACTAATGATAGTATGAGGGCAATAACATAGCATATTGCATAACTAATGATAGGAATGAAGGCAATAACATAGCATATTGTCTAACTAATGATAGGAATGAAGGCAATAACATGGCATATTGTCTAACTAATGATAGTATGAGGGCAATAACATAGCATATTGTCTAGCTAATGATAGAAATGA